TTAGCCGCTACATTAGCCTAAACAGGATAACGTAGCAGCTGACATTGTCCTGAAGAAGATAATGTTTGCTAAAACTTGATGATGTTAGCCACTGCATTATGCTAAAAGAAAAACAAGGTAATGTTAGCCAAAATAAAGTGTTGGTTGCTGCGTTATCCCTAACAAGAAAAGGTTAGCTGCTACATTAGCATCTGTGCCTGTTGTGTGTGTGTGTAGCAGCGCTACAACAGATGCTAACCGGCCGCTGCCGTCAGGAAACATCCGACTCTTCATCTGTCGGCAGATTGTTTTTGTTCAGTCAGAGCTGCAGGCGTGTTACAGGCGTGTTACAGGCGTGTTACAGGCGTGAGATGTGTGTCTGACGAGGGTGCGTTTGTTTTGCAGATGAATGTGAGGAGGTGGAGCAGCAGGTGCAGAAGGTGGTTCAGGAGATGGAGAACATCCTGGGAGAACCTCTGCAGAGCTACTTCTAACACACACACACACACACACACACACACAGCTGTGTGAAGGTCAATAAAGAAATGAAAATAATTCAGGAGGTTTTTGATCCTGATGTGAAATTAGTATTTTGCTTTTGATGTAAGAAATAAACGTTGGACTTCATGAACTTCAGGGTTTGTGTCGTTTGTTCATCCTGAAACTAAAACCTGCCTCTGCTCTGATTGGAGGAACTGTTCTGCACATGCTCAGTAGATCAGATAGGAAACGGCGGCTTTAATCAACGTGGAAGAATTCAGTTCGTCTGATTTGACGTTCATAAAGATTTTCTTTATTAAAATGTTTGTTGGTCACAACTTAAACTTTTTAAATCAGTTCATTAGTTTGAATCATTGAATGTAAATTTCTTGAGATTTTAACTTTGTCGTATTTGTTTTAATCAGAATTTAAAGTATTGTGACGTCAGATTTACTAAAGTTTTATGTAATGTGTCAAAATTACAACTTCAGAGTTTAACCTTTTAATTCATCTTAAAATCCCGGTAAACGTTGAAACGTTTCGTCACGCGGAGCCTCCCCCCTCCCGCTGACGTCACGCGGAGTTTTTAGGAGGCTCGCGCCGCTCGGACGGTCAGAGACAGGATGAGGAGCGCGAGGAGGCTGCGGGAGCTCGCGCTGACGGCGCCGAGGAGCCTTCATCATCATCTTCATCATCATCATCATCCTCAGAGATCCGCGGGAGTCGTCGGAGCAGCGTTCTGCAGAGGACAGGTGAGTGAGCGCGTGGGTTGTACGGTGCGTGCGTGCGCGCGTGCGTGTGTAAATCACGTTGTTGTGCTTCAGTCCAGATCTGGAGTAGAAGAAGGTCCGGACCGGATCCGAGCTGCAGGACTGTTGGACCGGCTGCAGCAGCGAGGTGGGACTCTGAGTAACGGAGTACTTTTACTCGAGTACTCTCTTTATGTACAATCTGAGCTGCTTTTACTCGAGTACTTCCCTGCGGTGCTCCAGCTCGTTGGTTTTCCAGATTTGATTCAATAAAAGTTTAAAAACTTAAAATCAACCTGCAGCAGCTTCAGGATCTGTTTGTTGTTTGTTGTTTGTTTTTTAGATTATTTTTTGTTTATTGTGTTTTTTAAATGTTTTAAACTTGAATTTGTTGAGTTTGGATTCTTTGAATATATTTTGAGGTTTTTTTATTTTTTAATTGACTGAGTTTGTCGTCATTATTTCAGCACATTATTTATTTGGTTTTTAATTTGATTCTTTTTTGGTTTTTGAAACTTTCAGACATTTTTACTGTTTGTGTTTTTTTCCAGATATTTTTTTTTATATTTTGTGAAAATGTTTCATAAACAGCAGATATAGAATTCCATCGTTCACATTATTTTTTACAAGGTGAATATCTGACATTATATTTGTATGTTTACGTATTTTTCATATTATTTCATGAGAAAACCTTTTTATAGATGAATTAATGTGTCAGATTTGCTTCCTGCCTGATGACAGGCTGCAGATGGAAGCTGTGATTTTCAGCCTGTTTCTGTCTTTGAGCTGAAACGTCTTCACAGAACCTCACGTCTGTTAATGTTCCTGTGAAAACGTGTCAAATATTAAAACTAGAACATGAAGCCTGAACAGAGCTTCTGGTTTGTTCCTGAACTGAAGCTGCTGCAGCGTCCAGAGTTCAGCAGAAGTTCTGTTTGCTCTGGTCTGCTGTTAATGTTCACACACAGAGAGCATGCTGGGAAGTCAGGGTTCTGTCGTCACGGGAACCAGAAAGATGGAGTCTGGTGCATTCATGGACCTCCCTCTGCCGTGGGACGGTTTGTTGTGTTGTGTTCAGGCTGTGCAGTGAAGGATTATGGGAACCTGGTGTTCGACGACGTGGTCGAGCCGTCCGGCGGCGGCGGCCTGAGGTCTGTGGCGGCGGTGGGCGGAGCCAACCGGAGGCTGTCTGAGGCGATGAAGGCGGTGAAGGAGGACGGACACACGGCCGTGATGCTGGGAGGAGACCACAGGTGGGTTCGTTACGAGTGTTCAACCGTCCGAGGACGTGAAACATCCTGATCAGCAGCTCACAAGATCCCAACAGCAGAAATACAGCTCTCATTAATTAGAAGGTGGAACTGGAAACAGACGAACCTCTGCTGCTGTTCTCAGCCGTTCCACTGGTTCCACTGGTTCCACTGGTGTCCACAACCTCTGTTTGCTATATTTATGTTCATATTCAAGCCACTGATACCTGGACAGGATGATAAATGTACAAAACAGCACGTAGAGCCACAAAAACTAATTAAAACAATTCAAACAAATATTTTTCAACAATTGCATTAATTTAACAGGCTGCAGGTGNACACACACCTGGACACACACCTGGACACACTTAGACACACTTAGACACACACCTGGACACACACCTAGACACACACCTGGACACACCTGTTTTAATGGACAACACGATGTATTGTCATGAATGAGTGCAGGAGGACCTGGAGCTCATTCTGAAACATTCTGTCACAAACATTTTCTCAGTCAAACGTCTTCATTCACGTGTTCTCGTCGCTGATTGGTTCGTTTCTTAACGATGTCTGATTGATTTAGTTTTGGACACTTTGGGATTCTGTTTGTTGAAATTCTTGTTAAATTCTCATCGTGGTGGAAATCACAGCAGCAGTCTGTGGAGTTTGAGAAGGCTGATTGATTGATTGATTGATTGATTGATTGATTGATTGATTGATTGATTGATTGATTGACCTCCTGTTCAGGTGCGGTTCTCGTCCCTGCTGATGCTGATGGAGTTGGCGTCCAAACTGAAAGAGAACTACATGGTTCTGCTGCCGGAGACCATCCCCTTCCTGGCCGAGCTGATGGAGGGTGAGGACGCACATGTTGAAATGCACACGTTAAAACACACGTTGAAACACACGTTGAAACACACGTTGAAACGCACACTGTGACGTCAACACAACTCGTTCTTCCGTTTGGGTTTTGTTTGTTTCTCGAGGAGAAAGTCGGTAACTTTCTGACTTCATGTTCGTTCACTGATCATTTTCTAGGTGATCAATAACTGCTAGCTAGCTACACAGCACCTACTTTCCCACAGACTTGCTAGCCTTGAACAGGATAACGTTAGCCGCTACATTAGCCT